CGCGGTGGCTGTGGCGACGCTTTGTGACGCCGGCGCGTGTCCCCCGCCCTTAAAGGGCTAATGGCTGTAGGAGCCTGAGGGCGGGCGGTCGAGAATCGCCTTGGCCCCAAAGGGTCGGTTTTGTGGCTTGGCGCCGCGGTTCCAGAGGCGTGTCCCGGAAGGGACTTTCAGGTCCAAGAGCTCTCAGTGACTTCCCCCAACGTGTATTCACCGGCCTCCAAACAGCAGTTCTAGGACTAGTCCTCGAAAGAGCTCTAGTCCTCTACAGACCACCCCCAACCCCATCCCACCCCCGCGACACCTAGTCTGCAGTCCCTGAACTTAGTAGGTGCTTGAATAAGAAGGATTGATAATATGGGTCATAGCGATGGGAACAAGATTTCCCAGCTTGAGGTTGGGGTTGTGGTTCAGTGGAAGAGTGCTTGCCTGGCAAGTGTGAGGCACTGGGTTCGAGCCTCAGCACCACATAAAAACAAATAAAATAAAGGTATTATGTCCATCTATTTCCCAACTTCTCTCCCAACTTAATCTCCCGCAGATCCAACCTCCTGGCCTGTGTGCCACTGGGCAAATCACCCATCTTAGAGAGGGTATGTTTTCAAAAGAGAAAAGGCAGGAAGGCCAGTTCCTGCTTCCCTTAATAACTACAAAGAGGAAGTTATGAGGAAAGAGAATTAAACTAAACCTGGTTTCCTGGCCCTTCTCAATGTGCTATGGGATGGACAACTGCTCTGCTTATCCCGGTTTGTGAAACTACTGAGATTGGACTTTTGACACCCATCCCTATAGTTCCTTCAGCTTGATTGTTCAACCTCCAACTCCTGAGATAATCATAACTGAAGTAAAATATGGAGACAGTCTTCAGTCCCCATTATTTAGAATACTTCTTTCTCTTGGACTGGGATTGTGGCTCAGTGGTAGAGTGTTTGTGTGAGGTATTGGGTTTGATCCTCAGCAACACATAAAAATAATAAAGGTATTATGTCCATCTACAACTAAAAATATATTTTTAAAAAAGAATACTTATTTCTCTTAGAAAAGCATGTGTTGTAACTGTGTAAACCTCTTCCCAGAAAAGCCAGCATACTGAGAGTTCCATTCAATTTTGAGATCACAGAGATCTTGGTTTCAACCCTGGTTCCACCACTTATATTAATTATACCTAACACAAGCAATTGTAATGATTAAATGAGGTCATCTATGTATGGCATTTAGCTTGGTGACTGGCAAGTGATCCATAACTAGGAGCTTTTTTTTTTTTTTAAGAGAGAGTGAGAGAGAGAGAGATTTATTTATTTTAGTTCTCGGCGGACACAACATCTTTGTTGGTATGTGGTGCTGAGGATCGAACCCGGGCCGCACACATGCCAGGCGAGTGCGCTACCGCTTGAGCCACATCCCCAGCCCATAACTAGGAGCTTTAAAGAACAGTATAGTTATTTTGTGGATACACTCTTCATTTTTTTTTAATACACTTTATATTTACAACAGTTTTAAATTTACAGAAAAAGTGAGAAGACAGTAGGGTTCTCATGTACCTGTTACCCAGTTTCCCCTAATAACATATTAATGTAGTATATTTATCACCAATATTGATACATTATTATTAATGTATTATACATTATCATTAATGTTCATGCTTTATTCATATTGCCTTAGTTTTTGCCTAGTGTCCCTTTTCTGTCCCAGAATTCCATCCAAGCTACCAGACTGTAGTTTTCATGTTTTCTTAGACTCCCTCTTGACTCTGACAGTTTCTTAGACTTTTCTTGTGTTTGATGCCTTGATACTTTTGAAAAATATTGGTCAAAACAATTTTGTTTATAGTAGGGAGTGTACTGGGGATTGAACCCAGGGAAACTTTACCATTGAGCTATATTCCCAGAACTTTTTGTTTTTATTTTGAAACAGGACCTCACTAAGCTGCTGGGTTTGAACTTTGTTCCTCCTGCCTAGCCTCCCAAATTGCTGGAATTATAGGCATGCACCACCACCTCTGGCCTCAAATGTTTTGTAGGTGGTCCTTCACCTGGGATTTGTGATAAGACTGGGGTTATGGGTTTTAAGAGAAAAAATCATAGAGATAAAAATGCCATATTCATCATACCATATCGAGGACACATGATAAAGCAACATGACTTAACACTGTTGATGTTGACCTTGATCACCTGGCTGAGGTAATAAGTATATCAGGTTTCTTCATTGTGAAGTATAGCTTCATCCTTCTTCATCATTCTATACTGTACTCTTTGAAAGAAAATCAGTGTGCACAAATCATAAAGGGCCTTTCTCTTTTATTTCTTTTTTTTCTTTCTTTCTTTCTTGGGTTTGTTTTCAATGAATGAGGTCTCCATACTTTAAACATTCTCTAGGGCTGGGGATGTGGCCCAAGCGGTAGCGCGCTCGCCTGGCATGCGTATGGCCCAGGTTCCATCCTCAGCACCACATACAAACAAAGATGTTGTGTCCGCTGAAAACTAAAAAAATAAGTATTAAAAAATTCTCTCTCTCTCTCTATCTCTCCTCTCTCACTCTCCTTTTTAAAAAAAAAAATAATAAAAGAAAAAATAAATATTCTCTAACCCCCAGCCTTACCTACCATCTAAGTCTTGAGACCAAACTCCACTAGAATTAGAGCTCTTGTCAGAGGAAGGGAAGTGTTGGGCTGGAGATGTGGCTCAGTGTAGAGAACTGTCAGGCCTAAGTTGGAAGCTAGTAGGGTGAAGTGTCCTCCTATTCATTGCAACCCTCCTCCCAAAATAATGATGTATGCCTTTTTCAGCCTTCCAGTCCTCCACCAATTTAGGGACATGAAGATTGCTGACCTGGAAATGTGGGAGATGGTGTTGACACCTTTAATAGCAAGGTTGTGAGTAGACAAATAGGCAGAAAGTTCATCTTCAAAGCATTTCACCTATATGAAATCATAGCCTCACCCTGATCTATACAATGATAGCTCTCTCACCTAACCCACTTGAATATACATCTGCCACCCAGACCAGAAGCTGTCCCCTGAGTTCAACTCACCAACTCATACTAAGTATCCACTATGGACATGATCCTAAGCTGGAAGGCTGGCAGCTTAGTGTGGTAATGAGTTTTGTACTCAAGTCTTCCCAATTCTCAAGTCAGAGGAACTGCAATTCTACAAAACTAGCTTAAGTAAAACATTACCTATTGGTAGGCTGCAACTGTGTCTTATTCATCCTTGTATCTCATGAAACCAGCACACAGTGTGACACAAAGTAGACACTAAGTAATTGTTCTCAGACTCATGGCCAAGGGCAGAAAGACAATCAGTATCACACATACACACACACATACATGCACACACAAAAAAAAAATTGGACTCCACTCGCAAGTCTAGGCTTTCAGGCACTCTCAGACACACAGTAGGTATTCAGGACTATAAATTTCATAACCATTTACCACCTACCCCAATGTTTGCCACATACTAAGTGCTCAAAACATTTTTTTCCAGGCATGGTGGTTCATGGCTATAACTCCAGTTACTTGGGAAGCTGAGGCAGAAAGATTCCTCACAAGTTTGAGGCCAGCCTTGGCAATTTAGTTAGATCCTGCCTGGGGCTGGGGGGGGGCAGCGGGGCTGTGGCTTAGTGATACAGGATACGTATCATGCAGGAGGCACTAGGTTCAATCTTTAGTACTAAGCCACTGTAGTCTAAACAAAGAATAGGGGCTGGAAGTAGCTCAATGGTACAGCAGTTTACCTACTATGTGCAAGGCCTTGGGTTCAGTCTCCAGAACTACTAGATAGGTGTATATATCTAGATATATAGAGGACAGCATTTTTTTCTTTTTTAAATTTTTTATTTGTTTTAATTAGTTACACATGACAGTACAATGATCTTCACATATCTTACATTTGAATTGGGGTATAATTTCTCATTTTTCTGAGTATACAGGTTGCAGAATCACATTGGTCATAAAGCCACGTATGTACATACAGCAATAATAATGTCTATTTTATTCTGCTAGGACGGCATTTTTTTTTTTTAATGGAAAATAGTAGAAATAACTTCCTAGAGCTTTCTTTGTTTTCTAATGATAGGTTGAAATTTACTTGATTGATTAGTGCCCTCTTGTGGTAAAGAAAACAAAATAACAACCTTCCACCCTGCCCCCCACCATGCTGGGGATGGAACCCAGGAGTGCCTATCACTGAGCCCTTTTTCTATTTCTGTTTTATTTTGAATTTTGCTAAGTAGTCCAGGTTTGCCTTTAGCTTTCATTTCTCCTGTCTCAGCCTCCAGAGTAGCTGGACTTGAGTAGCTGAGATT